CGCTGTCTTTATACAACTAGGATCTGATAATTGTTGTACTTCCTGCTGCTGTCTCGGACACATCCGTGTGAAAACTGACATTTTTACTGTCACTCAGACTTTTCAGGGATAAATGAAGGAAAATGACGTCATCCTGTTCACAGAGACGCTGACAGGTTATCGGCCACGTCACTGACGGCAGCTTAAACACCTGAAATAGCATTTTAGGCTTTATGAGCTCAGATTCACTGATCAGCTTCATTTCCTCTTATTGATTATTGGAAACGTACCGGACGTCAGCAGCTCTGTGACAGCTTCTGACGTCATCGACCTGTTTCAATCTGCGAGTGCACGCGGGTCAAAACCTATCCGATCAGCTCGTACGGAGTCCAGCTGAGACAACAAATCAAACCTTCCGCCGTCTCCACGTTCTGCGCCTGCGCACTAAAGTCCGTTATTTTACTGCTACGTGCACATGGACAGCACGTCACAGCAGACTCCGCGCAGGTGAAGGAGAGACAGGTGAGGTGCTGTTACCTGCTGCGTGCTCAAGTCAAGGCCCAGGTAGAGAGGAGCGCGCGGAGCGGAGGCCATGAGCGCGAGGAACCACACAGGAGGAGGAGGGGTCCAACGTTTAGTGACACAGCCCACAGGCTCCTCCTCCTCAGCGCAGACTCCGTGTTCGTGCTTTTAAAGGGACAGTTCACCCAAACCCTTTAGTTCACGTCACAGACCGACATGGTTCAACATGGCTCAGCCAATAGAGTGGACAGGGTTTATTTGTTGTTGTCAGTAGCAACGAGGCCTACATGTTGAATCAGCACTATGGGCGGACTTCACACAGGGACAGTGTGGAAATGGAATAAAGGTGAGTGTTATCTGAGGTCCATGGACACGCCTCCAGGTCACATGATGGATTTAATCTGACACAGCAACGAGTTGCAGCCACGCTGAGTCTGTTTTAACTCCTGTTGAAAGTTCAGACTTTAAACTACGCACCAGTTTGTAAATGTTACTGATCGGCCACTAAAACCAGTCATGATAAAAGAACAGACCCAGTGTTTTTTCTGAATCGTCACGTTTATTTTGGGAAAATCATCGTTTTCTAAACTTAACATCTATCTTTGTATGTCAAGTTATTAAAATCATTCAGTAAAAATGTTTGTGTTTTTTTTTACAGTAAAATATAAGTACTACTAGGATTTTATGTTTTTGTGTGATTTCAGATCAGTTGTGTTACTACAGCATGTCAATGAAACATGGCTGTAAATTCAGACACGTGAGGCTGAGCTGAAAACACTGAAACCAAAACGGCAAAAACAAACTGTAGTCAAAGATGTCCAGTTATACCTTCAGTGCAGATTTCTGACATTTTGTATAAATTTAAGCAACAATTTAATTATTTCTAATAAAAAAAACAGTGA